GAACTTCTGGTGCTTTCCTGATTCGTCTTTCTGGGCGACCGATCTCATAATTTTGAAAAATGACAGACATTTATCTACTGACTTCGATATGAACTGATGCAAAGCTGCCACCCTGCCAGTCAGCCTCTGTATATCTTTCACCGATTTCGGCGGTTCCATCTCGGCAATTGCTCTGATCTTCTCTGGATTGACCTCGATCCCTCTTCGGGACACCATGAAACCTAGAAACTTCCCAGACTCTACTCCGAAGATGCATTTGGCCGGGTTTAACTGCATCCGGTTCTTTCTAAGGTTGTTAAAGGTTTCGTCGAGGTCGGCTAGATGGTTTTCTGCCTTCTGACTCTTTACCACAATGTCGTCGACATATACTTCCAGATTCTTGCCTATCTGAGCTAGGAAGACTATGGTCACCATTTTCTGATAAGTAGCACCTGCGTTCTTTAAGCCGAACAGCATCATGACATAACAATAAATTTCATCGCCAGCATAGAACGAGGTCTTTTCTTCGTCTTCGGGAGCCATCGGCACCTGGTGATACCCAGAAAATGCATCCAAGAGGCTTAACCTCTCGTTGCCTGAAGCCGCTTCAACTAATTTGTCAATGCTCGGCATCGGATAGCAATCCTTAGGGCAGGCGTGGTTAAGATTTATGTAATCGATACACATTCGCCATTTACCATTTGCCTTCTTCACCAGGACGGGGTTAGCCACCCATTCGCAGTAATCAACTTTCCTAACGAAACCAGCTTGTAGAAGTTTCTCTACCTCTTCTTTAATAGCCTGAAGCCTCTCCCCCCCGAAAGGACGCCGCTTCTGGGCCACTGGTTTCTTCAATGGGTTGGTACTGAGCTTATGTTGACATACTGAATTTGGAATTCCTGGCATATCTGCCGAAGTCCATGCAAACACATCATTATTAGCTCGGAGAAAAGTTAATAACTCTGCTCTTTCCTCTGGGTTCAATCTAGTTCCGATCTGTGTCTTATAGCTCGGATCTCTGTCATCAATGAGTACTTCTTCAACGTCTTCAACCGGAACAGCTCTGGTTTCATCGTCCGGTCGATTATCGACGATCTCTACACCCATAACCTACTGATTATCAGGAATTTGCTGGGGAATGACCTCGGGTGTCTTATCTTTGCCCTTCGTTGGTTGTGTTACCGAGGTGATATAACAGTGTCTGGCCACCTCTTGGTTTCCTCGCAATGTTGCTATGCCCATAGGAGTGGGGAATTTCATGCAGAGGTGAGATTGGGAAACCACAGCTCGGATTTCGGTCAATGTGGGTCGGCCAATAACAATGTTGAAAGAGGACGCCATCTTGACGACGAGGAACCGGACTGAAAGGGTTACATAGGTCCGGCCACTCCCAAAAGCCACATGGAGAGTAAGAATTCCTTCTACCGGGACATGTTGGTTGTTGAAACCATAGATAGGACCATCATACTTTTGCAACAATGCTAGATCTAGTCCTAGACTTTCGAAACAGTGGAAATACATGATGTTTGGTGCACTCCCGGTGTCAACAAGGACACGCTGTACTTCACAGTTATTGATCATGACAGAAGTGACCAGAGGATCATTGTGGGGTGTAACAACTGTGTCGAGGTCAGCAAATGTGAAAGTAATGGGTTGATTCTTCCACTCAGCATCGTCAATCTTCTGCTTCTGAGCTCGGTTCTGATGCTTAACCTCTCTAACATATAGCTTTCGCTGCTTAGAGCTCAGTCCACCTGCTTCAAGGCCTCCCGTAATCATGTGTATGATTCTAGCTAGTGGTGGGAACGGAGGTGGGGCTTGCTGATATCCCACACCTTGCCTATTTGGGGGATTACGAACTCCTTGAGGCTGTGGCCTCTGTTCTCTGACAAACCTCGGCTGTTCAGCTCTTTGAACATACTCATTCAGCATTCCCTTCTGAGCTAAACTTTCCAGTTCGGACTTTAAACCGTTACACTGCTATGTAGTATAGCCGTGATCCTGGTGAAAATCACAATATCTGGTATGGTCTCGACTAGCAGCAGCAGTTCGCATTGGGCCAGGACGTCTCAAGTCCATCTTATTTTTGATCTGCATAAAAATTTGTGACCTTGGCAGATTAAAGGGAGTCCAATTAACTGAAGGTTTACCTGCAGATTGTTGTGGGGGCGTGGAGTTCGGCCTTCCGAATCTTGGTGGGGAGGTCAACACTGGACTTCGGTTTTGCGCCATCCTCATCCTTTTCCGGCTCGGATTGTCATCTCTCCACTCTGGGTTCTAGTTCTTAGAGGAAGGTGGGTTTTGCGCCAGGGCGTATTCCTCAACAGTTATAAATTTCAAAGACCTATCGTTCACCTCGCTAAAGGTGGTGGCAACATGTTTGATCAAACTGTCTCTGAACCTATCATGTTTGAGACCAGAGATTACAACTGCAATACCCACAGCTTGGTCGAAGGAACTAACCTCCAACACCGAATCATTGAATCTGCTCATGTAGTTCTTCAGAGACTCTCCGTCCCTCTGTTTAACTCGCATCAATTCAGTAGTAGTTTTCCTAATCAACCTTCTACTGGAAAACTTAGTGGCAAAGGCAGATGCCATTTCTGTGTAAGAACTAATTGACCT